CCTCCATAACCAGGTGGTTCAGAGGCGACGGAGGCCTGGGGCCACTTCTTGGTCCGCAGCTCGGCCTCAAAGTGGCAGACGCAGCCGGCGGTGGGGGGTGGGCAGGCCCTGCTTTCAGCTCTCCCTGGCAGCTCCCCACACCGGAGACCGGAGACCGGAGACCGGAAATGCAACCGGTGCAGTGCCCTCGCGCCGCCCCCCCCAGTCGCTCCCACCCTTCTGCACATATGGACACCCCATCCCGCAAGTCCACGCCTGCAGCAAAGGGCCCGAGGTTCCCAGAACCCGGCCCGCAGTCTCCGCCCCAGGGCCTTGGCACAGGCTCCTCTTCCCTCTGCCCAGAGCTCACAACTCACCCTCCTCACTTCAGACCCCGGGCCATCCACCCGCAGCTGCAGGGCCCCTTCTCTGCGTCCCCTACTGAGCAGCCTCCAATACCACGGTCCCCAGCACGCCCCGCCCCCGAGCAGCGACACAGCCCTCAGAGTTCGGGCTGATGTCCGGTGCCCCGGACCGTGAGCCCCACAGGGACAGGGGGCGTTCACTGCACTGACGCTGCCCAGCAACGAGGCCTCAGGGGGGGCTCCGGGCACCCACGGGTGAGTCACACCTCCTTCCCGCCATGGGCACAGCTTCTCCCTCTCCCAGGGCCTGCGTGCCCTCCCCTGAGGCTGCACATCCATCTATGACCCCGGATGACCGCACTCCAGCAGCCAGGAGCCTGGCGGGCCTGTCACCCGCCCCTGGCAGAGGTGGGGCCAGGGGCTGCAGGAGGCCCCGCACCGGCGCTGCTGAGGGCGCTCGCGGGGCCCTTCCTTCCCGCTCCAGTGGGTGTGGGCTTCCTGCTTTGGGTGTGGGTGTTCCAACTTCCCGGCCCGATAAGGATCTCCAAGGTTTGGAGCCAAGACAGCGTCTTTTGTGTTTTTCCCGCTACCGACAGAAATCCACAGAGGCTTGCACAACCCTGGCGGGGGCGGGGGTGGGGTGGGGGCAGGAAGGCCAGGGGCTGCCAGGCCTGACCAGAGCTGGATGGCTGCGAGGGTAGGGTGGGCCCGGTCACAGTGGTCCCCGTGCTGGGCCAGCTCACAGCTGCCTGATTAATCCCCGGGATGCGGGCATCATGCCCCACTGTACAGACAAGGCTGAGACTGGGAAGCGTTGTTTCTGAGGTCGCTGGTTCATGGAGTGAAGTCTGCCCTGGGTCTGCGCGCTGACCGCTGCCTTCCACGGCCAGCCCTGGGCCCCAGGGTGCACAGGCAGAGGTGCTGGCTGAGGACACACACGCGGGAAGCAGGCTTTCCCTCACGCTCCCAGCCACCCCGTCACCCACACTTTACAGAGGAAATCGAGGCTCAGAGAGGGTGTGAAGTGCGCCAGGTCTGCCTACGCCCGATGCAGTGGGACCAGCCTGCAGGCCACACACCACCCACTGGCCACCCACTGCGGCGCGGGGTTTCAGTACAGGGCCCCTCGGGAATGGGACCTCACACAGCTGGTGGCGTGACCGCGAGGCATGAACCTGGAGGCAGCACTGCGTCCACCCGGGGGAACTGAGGCCCTAGAACCCACACACTGCACATGCTCTCAGCAGCTCCTGGGCAGGAAGAGTGGGTACATGACCGGGACCCGTACGCATTGCCGAACCCCTAGTGTGACAGTCAGGAGGTGGGGCGATGGGGCGATCAGGTCACGGGGGCCTCCTAGATGGGATTAGCGCCCTGTAAGCGGAGGCCCCTGCCACCAGGGTGTCCTGTCCTCCCCTGGGGAGGACACAGCGAGCAGACGGCCGCCTAGGAACCAGGAAGGGCCCTCAGTGGACTGGGACCCGCTGGCGCCTTGGCGCTGGGCCAGCCTCCATGATGTGAGGCTCGGTCATGGCAGCCTGCGGGTGGAGACACTGCGGCAGCAAGGAGGCAGCGAGATGACCGTGGGAGGCTGCAGTATTGGGAGAAACCCAGGCAGGTCGGACAGAGAGCAGGGTTATTTGCGTTTTGTAATTTAGAATGGTTGCGGGAGGATGGAGGTCAAGGAAAACGGTGCCAGGAAGGTGACACCTGAGTAGAGACGGGAGGCAAGGGCATAGCCAGGCTGTTTGGGAGAGAGGTGTCCAGAAAGAGGGAACAGCTGCCACCCAGGTTCTGGGGAGGGCGCAGAGGCCCGAGGCAGAGGAGCCAGGGTGGCTGGGGATCTGCAGGCCCTAGGGTGAGCGCAGCCTGGTGACTGGCGTTCTGGAAGCACCAAGTCGCCGCCGACCTTTCCCAGAGGCCATGAGAATGAGCTTTCCACGACCGGCACCGTGGCCCGAGGGGAGAGGTCAGCAGGCAGGCAGATGTTGCCGCTGCCAGCCACAGGGCCCCGGAGGCAGCTCTGCTGGCCCAGCTAGAACCTGCCACCAGGTGTGCCAGCCACACGGCCACTGAGGCAGCTCTGCTGGCCCAGCTAGAACCTGCCACCAGGTGTGCCAGCCACACGGCCCCTGAGGCAGCACTGCTGGCCCAGCTAGAACCTGCCACCAGGTCTCACATGAGGCCACGTGCTCAGGACACAGGCTGAGACCCAGCCCGGGCCCTCCCTGTGTGACTAACGGACAGAGCAGTGCTGGCAGGGCCAGGGGGACGGCACTGGAAAGGGGGGGACGGTGCAGAGGGACGGCAGGGGAGGCGGCTGCACAACAAAGCGCTGACCTGCTGTGACCACGCAGGAACACAGCCCAGCCTGGGGCTGACCGCCCACCCGCGTAGGGCCTCTGTCTGTTACAGCCCTCCCTCCACACTTTCTTATCAAAGTTCACACCTTACTGGGGCACAGAGGTCAAACCACACTCAGAGAACTCATCCATCAGCTTCCTCGTCCCTGACCCGCAGGCCACACAGGACCCAATCCGCAGGCAAGCACCTAGGACTGCAAGGGCCCCTTCAGGACACCTGCCTGCCTTCCAGCCAGGGCACCCTCCAGGCCCTCAGAGGCAGCCCTCCCAGTCCCCATGGGGTGGGTCCGCGAGCCATCAGTGCTTCTGGGACAGACAGGAAGGCGCCCGTCTCCAGACTGTGGTGAGCACGGTGGCTGTGACGCTCCCACAATCCAGGGAGCGGCACCTCCGTCCCCTCCGAAGAGCCGGGCGGGTCTCCCTTCTCACTGCAGAGCTTGGCGCACAATGAGGGCATCCCGTCCCCAGCAAGGCAGGGGACGCCGGCTCCACGTGGTTTTAAAAAACCAACACCAGACCGATTGCTTCTCGAACCCCAGAATCAGGTTCAGCCTCATGGGCCTCCCACAGCCCAGTCCGTGTGCCCAGGCGGTGGAGCTGTCCCCAAAGTCATCGGGTCTCTCACAGGAGCTGCCCGAGCAGGCGGGCAGCCAGCAGCAGGGGGCAGATCTGCACGCCTGGCGGACACACAGACCTGCCGTCTCCCTGTGCAGACCAGGGGGTCCGGTCGGGGAGCCCTGAGGGCTGAGTGGCTGTGCCCACAGGACACGCCGTGGGCAGGGCTCGGCGGCCTGGCATCCGGAATCTCTAACTGGAGGCCATTCGCACAGGAGACAGCGCTGTGATCCGGGAAACCCTGACCTAGAGAGCCAAGACCACCTGGTTCAAATCTCGCTCGCTACCTGCTCTGTGACCTGGGGCTGCGTGTAATCGATAGTCTTCTTGTTAGTGGTCCATAGGATGACGGTGGCTATGTGAGTGGCGTCTCCGATTGGAGGGACGATGGGGGTATCTGCCTGGAGAGGCGGTCCTGAGGGCGAGGACAGTCCTCCTGCCTGCACGTCCACACTGGCTGGCCGGGCCTGGTCTCGGCCCCGGGGCCAATGCGGCCACTGCCGGCCCGGGGCCCCGGCCACCAACGCTGGTGCGGGGGGGGGAGCCAGTCAGGCCACAACAGAGCCACAGGCGGGGGGCCCACGGGGCTTCGCAGAGAGTAAGGCTCAGCCGCCCGCAGCCAGGGTCCGACCCGCTGACCCCCGCCCCCTCCAGGCCAGGCCGCAGCCCGCCGCCTTCCACTCCGGGCCACGCAGCAAATCCGGGTTAAGTCCTGCCACCCGCACGCTTGGGTTTTCAGAGGGAACTGTCCTCACTCAGGCCCTGGACCCGAACGTGCTGCCGGGGCCCCGCGCGCTCCGCGGGAATCAGCCTCTAATGACCGCGCGCCCAGCGAACAATGCGCTGCCTCTGAGCCACCC